TACATACACAAGGTCGAGAACTTGTGATGCAGTGTCACGCAACAAGATAGCAGGAACGAAAGCCTCAGTGACTTCTAAATTAAACTAACACCGCCGAGCACGGTGCTACGTTTGGGTGATGGTGTGAGGGTCTCGCTTAGAAATGAACGCATACTGATGTTCTTAAAACAGTGCAATCACAAAGGATAGAGTTTCCTCTATAATCCCGAACAGCAATTATTCAATACATCTTGTAAGTTTTGGGGCCTTTTTTTTTTATTTTAGTCTCGCTTTATGTATCTGTAAATGCCACATTTGTCAATAAAAAATAATTCGTATAAAATATTTTATACTATTGAGTTCAAATTATTAATTAAAGGAAAAACAATACAATATGTTAGGGACTTTCAGTTCTGCACATCTCGAGCTTCCCACCGTCGCCAAAAACGTCAGCAGTTTTCCATTTTCCACTCTGTTTGAGTTTGTTAAGTTAATAATTTACTTAAACCTAAATAAAACAGCAGTGCAGAAATTACCTCCTTTCATCAGTGTATTTTTCTATATCGTTTTGAATTCGTAATTGCATTATATATTAAAAATGACAATTGAAAAATCTCATGCAAATTTAACCTAAGTGGTAAATTTTTGGCCCTCTCCTTTTTTAATTTCAGATCTTAAAAGCTACAACAAAGAAAATTAAAGATTTTCAACAGAGTGCTTTAAATGTAGTCATTTCCGTATGCAGTATGCTCTATTCCAAGAGCTATGTGCAGTGTTGTGGAAAAGCGCGGGGGCGAGCATGTAGATTAAGATGTCGTGTTTTTTCTTCTTTCTTTTAATATGGGCTTGGACAAAGAATTGCTTCGTAACACTCTCATTCTTGTGCCTTTGATAGCTCTTTATACAACCTGATTTGGACGGAGAATGTGATGGTGTTCGTAAACCCTTTGAAATAATAATATTTAGAAAAAAGCTCTACTCTGAAAAAGTAGATAACAGAAATAACAAAATACAGAGAGGACGAAACACAGACGAGTACAGGCTTTCATTTGTATTCTGTATGGTTTATCCTTTCTGTTAGCTAGTACACTTCACCACGCTTTTTAAAAATATGATCTGAAAATAGGTTTGACTAATTCTTTCAACACATAATTTGTTATGGCATGGAGCTGGTTTTTGCATTTGAAACTTTAGGTTGATTACGAAAAAGTGCAATCCGCTAAATCTAGAGGGGAAGTTTTCTCGCTACACTTAGCGGGAAGATATCATACTTAAGATAAAGCCAACAAACATACGCACATAAGCGGATGCATACAGCCTGAGGCAAAACACATTATGTGTAATTACGACTTTTCGTAGGATTGAGGTGCGTGCCTTTTTCACGTGTATCTTCAAATGGGCCACTTTAAGATACGAGCTCTGTATCATGCAAATGAAGTAATAAGAAACTTATCATGGTATTTGAAAGCGCAACTGTGTACGCTGGCCTTCAACAGCACAATAATGTTCCCACAAAAGTTGAGGGAACTGATATCTAAGTTCTCAGATTACAGCAGGAAACCGATTAAAGAAGCCTGCGTATCAAACAAATTTGAGCGCCACGTTTGATTTTGTCGCTGTCGTTGTTGGAGGATCTTAATATCTTCTGCGAAATGAGTATATCTTATTGAAGAGGCTAATATAGCTTGGCCCACTCTTAATCGCATCATATTGCGTCAACGTTTCACTGAAACTTGCCTCAACCCAGGACACGTATATAAAACCACAATAGTAGTGTTGTTAATGTTTTTTGCTTTGTTTTTAAATGCAGGGGCCAGCGTTTTAATCAAACCGGAAACTTGTGAAAAAGCCGATGCACGCGCGCTTGTGTCTCACGGAACGCATATTTCCGATAATACTAAACCAACGAAACAAAGAAGCAAACAACTGGCACACTGACTGTCATATAAAACTAGAGACCTGTCAGATTGCACCGCGTCGCAGGTAACCACGAATACACGCAGCAGCGCAGACAGCTAGCCACTAAGTGACAGAATCGCGATTTATTTCTTTCTTTTTTCCCCTCCGAGGCTGTTCTACAGGTTTGAGTACTCAGCGTTCGAAAGCGTTCCAACGAATTCATCTTAATCGAAGCCTTCCGAGAGTGCTGACCTTTTGACACTTTCGACGGGAGAGCAAACGAATGCCTCTTGTCCATACTGGTTCTCTCTCAAGAGATTGAGAGAGAGATAAGGCAAATATACATGTCAAATCGGAACGCGCGAATATTCTTAGGAGACGTTTTCTCTTTGGTGTGTGTGTGTTTTTTTTATTTGGTTGATCGATTTTTGTCTTGTGACCTGTCAATCTTCGAGGGGCCCTTTGAAGGCGCAGGAGTAAGTGGCTCGTGCGTATGTTTGACTGCGGCCTGCAGGACGCGCGGAAGGCAAAAAGAAAAACACCCGCAAGCACTCTTTATAGTGACAGCCTCGGAAACCGGAAACAATCCGATATCCTGTTGTGTCTAACTGCCTCACTCGTATTTGCAAACACGAAGCGCACAGCGCGGTGTTTGTTTTTAATTCGGTAGAATCGATTGCAACGCAAAAAGTGGGCGAAGGTCAACATGAGTTACATGACATACGGTAATCGACTTTAGTGTCGCGGGCTCGGAATTTCGTGAATTTTCGAAAAGTGGACGGATTTCAGAAAAATATTGCGGGCACAGAACTTCGCGATTAGTTGCGGTGGAGCGTGTATCCGACAAACTGCATTCGCCTGATAAATTTACTTTTTAAATCGCAAAATCCGCGAACATTAAGTGATTTAATATCATCTTTAGTTCGACATCATTTTCTTAAGAACACATCTCGCATGAAGCCGGATTCACATGGTGCGAATTTGCTTGCGATATCGGAGTTTCGACGTTGAGCTTCCACCACGCTTTTTTTTTTTTTTTCGTACGAGCGACGCTGCAATTGCGAAATCGCAAGTGAAATTGCACCACATAAATTATAAATTAGTACTTATAATACAGAAATTGCACATATGCCTTTAACAAAACCTTAATTGTTATTTACAAGCAATAAATGCCCTCGTATTAAAAAATAAAATAAACACTACAAAAGGCGTAGAACAATTTTAGTTCCTTCCGAATCCTGTGCAATGTTTAGTCCACTTTTTGCACATGTGTTCCACCATTTACGCCGTGGAGAGTGTTCTTAATTGGAACATAATTAAAACAACTCGCTTCAGTTTAAATTAATATTGTAGTTTAAATGAATAGGGCAGTATATGGTGCCTCGAAGAAAGATTAATTTGGTTGATCTGAGAATAGCTTGGTTTAAAGGAAATAATTTATCTTTAGTTGTTGCCTTCGAAGAATATATAGGGGGGGGGGGGGGGGGGGGCAGGTGGCAGAATAAATGAAACTTATGATTATTCTTGTTAATTGTAATTTTTATTTCATAGCATTTGTTCGCCCAGTTGTTCATGCACTCAGATCATTATTGTAATTCTGTTGCGGTAGAAGGATCGCTTGCCGTTAACACTCTAGCGGAGTGGGTGGCCGGTAACATTAATTACGTTGACAGCTTCCCCGTTAATCAATATAGCTCGGGTAAATCGCGTACGAAGTTAATAGTTCATTGTTTGTTGTCCACTAATGCTGCCTTACCAAATCACACAGTGGAAGTTGCGCGGATGCGTGTGAAGATGCGCTCAAATTTCAGATGAGGCATTGTGCTGCGAACTGGGATCCGGATTATGCTGAATGTTAGCGGCTCATCGTTAATTTAACGTCAAACCGACTCGCACAAAAAACCGATGCAACCAAATAATGCGTTTAATATAAAAAATAGAGAGTTTCAAGGTAATCTCAAGGAGATTTAATTCAAAGATTATCTTAAAGCAGATGTATCGAACGAATTGTGTTTACCAGATATTACCCGCAGCAGAGTTTTTTCTAAGGCTGCGCAGGCAAGGAAAAACTATACAAAATGTGCTGCTCAGTCATCCTCTTAAGTATCTTCTCAGTTTAAAATGAATTTACTTTACTTTAGAAGGATATTATGAGAATGTTACATTCACGAAGCTATCAAACGAGGAGTATTTACCAATATGTGAATGCATACATTTATTTTTTGCTCGTTCATTCTTAAGTGGTCACGAACAGGACGGGAACAAGACGATAGGTGCCCGTCCTCCGAAACGCGTTCTTTGCCTTTCCTCCTAAAGTAGCAGCACGTGCACTCTCGCGAGAAGCCGTCGCGTTATCGAAGATGGGAGTCTTGCGCTACTAGTGGGCCAACTGAAGGATCTACCTGCCGTTATAATCCTACCATGGGCTATAGTGGTGGAAGCAGTATTTAACAAACTATAGTACGACGCTAAGTAAATTCACCTTAAATAGACAAAAAAAAAACATAATTTTTCGCTTGTTCACATTGTTTGCCTCGTACAAGTCTTCATTTATAACTGGAATAGACCAACTTCACTAGCCAGTTTGGTTATGCTACGTCCTGCTGCACGTACGACAACGTCGCTGGCACAAAGCACCAAAACGGCACAAGTTGCCTCGTGCTCTGCCGCCTGCCTTCTGTGCACTAAAGTTATGGTGGCGTCACGCATGCACCGTGCGCTTGGTGAGATCGGCATATTGACCCGCAGAAAGATAAGCAGGATCCCTTAATTGTTACCCAAAGGAACTGCGTCTATCACAGCACGCTCCCGACATGAGAACGCAGAACAAAGGGAACAATTCCGAGGCGACTCGTGAACAAACTCGTTCCCCCCGCGAAACAAAAGCCGGCTCATTCCGAAAAGGACGTCGGCACCTCTAAACGTGTTTCTCGTTCCAACCGATCGGGAAAACCCAAATTACCAGCAGCGCCAAAGCCGGTGCCTTGGTCTCTCGCACGCGCGCAGACACAGACCCATTCATCCGCGCTCCCGCCTTTGCGGCGGGGAAACAAACACCACGCGTACAGACAGATACCGAGAAACCACGACGAAAGCAATCCAAAAAGAACGCGCACACTCACCGTACTTCCCGACATCCGCCGCGAAATCAAAAACAGTGACGACGCCGCCGACGACGACGACGACATCAACACCGGAGACGACGCCGACGGAAACACCCGGATATCCATGATAGTTCTCCGAGTTCCTAACCGCATCCGGGCACGGGGTTTAAAAAATACGAGTGTTTCGACGAGGACCCCACCCGGGGCTCGCGAAAGGGTTGAAGTCGCGAGCACACGGTCCTTGCCAGCTGATGAAAAATGGGCGCGCTCAGCCGCGTGCGCGCACACCTCAGTCCGCGCACTTTCACTACTACCGGCGACGAGAAGCTCCTCGACGCTGCCTGATGACCAACGCCAGAGGCAAAAGCGAGGAGGCCTCCGAGCCAGACTTGCCCTTTATACACACGCTCCGCTCAAGACGGGAGAAGTCCTCGTCGGAGACGTCAGGTGGGAGAGCATCCGCAACGAGAGAGAGAGAGAGACCGCGCACGAACGGGTGTAAGGGAGGGAAAGCTGAGCTTGGGGGACGAACGTTCTTCTTCGATGATGATGCACCCGGTCGCGTCGTCTTTATAAACACGAGAAAAAAGAAGATAGTTGCCGGCGCGATGTCCTCGGTCGTTGTTGGAGGGAGGATCCCTCCTCCGTCAGGATCTCGAGGAGTGGTCCTGTTCGAAGATGGACTCTCAAAGACGTGTGTACCTGTTTCCGTGCTGGTGGTAGGGCGCCCCGCCCGTTTTCACTTTCTCTCTCTCGAGGGGGAGTCGGTCGCTGCAGGATGGGTCTGATGGTCGACCCGCAGAGTCAAAAGGGAAAGTATAAGTATGCGGCGAGACGGCAGCGCATCCAAAACGTCTCTCGTGCTTTTGCTTGAAGAGCCGCCGCTGGAAGCCACACTGCGCGGAGTGCACGGGGATGCGCCGTGGCCTCTGACGGACGACTTGAAGTGGTCTCAAGCTGCGTCGGAAGGATATGGACGAGTCTCGCCGATTTAAAGTATAAAAAAGAAGGAGGGACGCCCTTCGAGGTGAATACTGAAACAGGCCAGATCGGCGGTCGGTCTTATCTCGCAAATTTTATTTTGTGGGCTTTCGCTCGTCGTTTCCCATTCCCGGATGCTGCGTGCGTGTTGGAATCCTTGTGCTCAGTCTAAAGATGGAAATGCGCACGTTTTGCATTTTCAGGTCTGTACTGCGCAGCTTTCTACTTGTTTTGTCTACGAGTATTGTCCCGTATTTAGGAAAGAACATGACCTTACAAAGCGTTCACGCTGTAAGTAAAATAAAATAATACAAACATTTTCCTACCAATAAAAAAGGTCAGACCATACAGCACCAGGAAGACTTGTATAGAATATGTTATGCTAGTTATAAGAGTATTCTTTGTATGTAGTGTGCACATATAACCTCCAAAAGTCCTGCCATACGTAATACCTCGCAATCCACTCGGTCCACCAGTCGTAGTTCTTCCTTTAATTAGTTCGACGCTTGAGAAGGGAGATCGATGTCATGCTCAATGGCCATGTGGTGGAGGTCATTACTTAAACAGATTTCTCGCGATATGTTATTTAGCTAAAATTACAATTATTTTGCTGCAGAAGCAGTTAGGTACATTTAGAAATAATATAGTGCACAAAAAGCAGTGTTGGGTAGAGTACATCTAAAAAGTACTTGAAGTAAAGTGCAAAGTAAATGAGAGGTTATGTACTTCACGTAAAGTTGTGAGTACACCGGGAACCATATACTTGAAGTAAAATACTATAAATACAATGTACTTTTAGGTAAAGTACAAGTACTTTTTAAAACAAGCTTCAATTCCGAGGGAGAATGGGGGTGCATCAGTTATTTTGCGAAACGGCGGCGAATATTGGATAAAGTCAAGTTGCCACAGAGCAGTTGTTTTATTGTTGCTGACGAAGCATTTAACACATCAACCTATAAGGCACTTATTTATATCGATCTTATAGCCGCCATTGCTTCAATCTGAGAAATAACCAGATGACGTATCGAAAGATGATAGCGCGTTTTCTCATAATTATATGCCTTTTTCTTTTCTTTTTTTTTTTTTTTCAAATTGGGGGAATGCGTTTTGAGGCCGAGACTCGGAAAGTACCTGAAAAAAATACTTTAGGTAAAATACAAGCACGCAATCAGATAACGTATTTCAAATAAAGTGCAAGTTTTCTGGATCTATTTGAAATATACTTCAAGTACAATGTACCAGAGTACTTCCAAACACTGACAAAAAGCAATAAAATATACCCTAGGCATTGCTTTCAGGAAGTAATGTCACTACTTCGCAAATAGCGTTTGTACTTTCTGGGGGAAGGCATTCGATGTACATGTCATAAAAGTTTTCCGCAATAAAATGTAGTACTTGTTCATTTGTTGTGAGACCGTTGAATATTCATTTTAGGGTAGTTTACATTCGTCACAGTTCGTGCCTCTTTGTTTTCACTTGCTTTAGTAATGATTCGGTGGGGAACCTGAGTACTTAATATCAGTGATGCGAATGTTGCTTTGTTAGATCGCCACACAGCCATGATTGCTAGCGCTCTTTTTGTTACAAGAGATTAAAGTAAAAAAAATTCTCTCAGTGTTATTAGGCACTGAAAGAACCTACCGAGTAGAGGCTCAAATCCCTATTATTCTGGAAATAGCCGGCCTCCACTCGGTGGAATGCATCCTCTCGGTGGAATGCATCCTCTCGGTGGAATGCACACTCCCGTTACGTGAGGCATCTTCCGTGCCTCGCTGCGTGCGCTGTAGTTTTGACAGTTGCATAGCTGTACGCCCAGAATCTGCGCCGTAACGCTCTCTCAGCGTTTTAAAGGTCCGCGAGTTTTCAGCAGGACAACGAGGCAGACGATCAACGTATCCTCTTCTGCCAGTGACAGAACGAAGCTGCAGTACGACAAATCCTAAGAAAAGAAGATTTGATTTTAAGCAATATTCTTCAACTGCTGAGGATAAAAGTAATTAAATTACAACTACAACTTCTTCCGCCAGAAAGTAATGAATTACAATTACAAATCACAAAAAAAAAATTAAATTTCAGAAATTTAGTTACCGTAATTGAGTTACTATACTGAAGTCTGCTGAAGGTGGGTGCCCTTTTGCCACCGAGGCTGTTTGACCCCAATCGAAGCATGACAGTGATCGCCCTTCTTATTGGTCGAATGGATTAAGGGACGACCGATTGACTGGTGTTCCGGGTGCGTTGCGGTGCAGTATTTACACTCAGGAATTTCCGAGAGTGAAATGTAAAACGCGCGGAACCTTTTTCCGCACATTTTACTTGTGCGTGCGTGTGTGCGTGCGTGTGTGTGTGTATGTTTGCGTGTGTTCAGCAAGATTTATAGGCCGGGAACTATAGCATGTGATAAAGCACGTTGAAGTAAAGTGCGGAAACGTGCTTGGTATATTGAAAAAAAAAAAAAGTGAAGGAAACTTGAAGAAGCAGGAAGGAAGTCATGACGTTATATTCCGACGGCTCTTTTTGACGTTGCGCGTCTACCACGTTCGTCCGCGCCCCTTCAATTTTTTTTTGTTTTTTTTTCTTTCTTTTTATGTTTTACCTACAAACCTTAGAAGAGATGTGAGATGCGTGATCCTAAAATTCCTGGTATATTCTAAAGATATGTTTTTTTCTGTTTTTGTTTTTTTTCTGGGCGGAACGCTTTAAGAACGCCTGAAATTATCTTTCAAATTAGCGTTTATGCACCCTTGGTTTTTTAACTAAACGGCAGTTGTTGATAGCCTGACCTTTGGACGACATTGAGGTGTCTGTCGAGTTCTCCGGTGGCCACTGACAGGTAATTAACGTATCATCAGAAACCTTTTCGAAGCCTGAACGCCAGGAAGATGCTTTCCGAAAGCTGTGGACATCCTTGTAATAGACGCGCCAATTTTGATTTCTTCACTAATATATTTTCTTTTTCAGACGCTTTCGACCGTGAAGTGGTAAACGGTATAATTTTGATTCGCTTTGCAAGATTTTCCTCTCGCTTTATGCTGAGTTAGCTTATATTACTTTCGCAAATAGCAATGGTATCCTTAAATTGCATCACAACATACATCGTACAAAAATTAACCACAAAAATTAGCATTTCTTGGGGAATGTTATGTGATAGCACTTTAACATGACTGAAAACAGCCGTAACCACAGGAAGTATAATTCGTCGAGGTGCCCGGTGTATGCTTTTCCCCTCCCACGATAGGCTTACAGGAAAGCACGCCTTGCGTCGCGTGCAATCTCGCACGATGGAAAAAAAAAAGCCCAAACTTTGTTAGTAGGTGTAACCACTGCAATCAATATTGTTAGGTGATTCAATCATTAACGTCGATCGCTGACCGTTCCACCGCGCCACTTGCTGTCCGTACTTCCGGTATACCCGTTCCAGTAGCCTTCAGCCGTGCGTCCACGAGAGGGAACATCCAATATAGAATGCGGAAAAGGGCGGAAAAAAGAACATTTCACGGGCGTACAGAAGCTCACGCATATATACATCGACCGCGGCATCGAAGATTCTCTAGCCGCAGCCAGCATGAAACGGGCTGCGAACACAAAACAAGACAGCCTCGCGAGTATAGACACCGACCGTGTCAATCAAGACACGGCAGTTATTCGCCGCCGCAACCGGCTTTTCTGCGCGTATACGCCGCCATCGCCGACCTTAATCCCGGTTTCCTTAATTCCGAAGCAGACGACGACGTTTCCCCGGTTTGGATGGCACGCGCCTGGCCTCGAAATTAACCTCCCTCATCTGGCGCCTTGACCGCGGCATTGCTGCTATTCCGGGACAAGCAACCCCCACGCCTTCCTCCTGCATACATCGCGCGCTTGGCGATTCCGTCGCGTCGTATGGCTAGAGCCACACTTCTCTTCTGGGCGCCGCCATTGGTGAGGATCGTAAAGCCGTGGTCACACTGCTCAAACATAATGCGGGATATGCAAACAATTTTTTAAAAAAAGATTATACTGTATTTATATTTTTTTACCGTACAAATAAATTACGCGTCAAACCGCTCAAACATCACACGAACGAAAATTTGAAAAAAATTACACTGTATCTTTTTTTTTCTCCGGCACAAATAAATTAATTACACATCGCCGAACGCACATTTTACACCCAAATGTCGCGCTAGCGGTCCGAGCCTTGAGATGCAAGCGTTTCAGAACTAACCGTTATTTCTCTAAAAACCATTGCGAAAAATTTTACAAAAATATAAATGAAAAAAAGTGTCCCATTCTCAGTAACGCCGTTCTTACCTATAAACTTAGTAGCCTTAACATATGTCTATACGTTTTCGCTTGGATAGACGCCCTTTTGACTAACCGTCTACAGTTTGTCCACGTCAACGGAATTAATTATTTATACTCGCTCGTAAACTCCGGAGATTCCGAGTCAGAACATCCATTGAGTCGAAAC